ATGAGACGAAAAAGAACACAAGCAAACACAGATCGTTTACGTGGTTCGATCCAACTGGATCTACGTCCACGGAAGGGAATCAATCAAATATTTCACTAAGGCAAAAGAAATGGAGAATACATAGCTTATACATAGAGATGAGCCCTCATCTTCCTTCTACGACCTCCCTCTCAAGCGACACCTTGATACAAGGCCTCAAGATGCTCTCCTCCTCTCTAGCTCTTTAGCTATTCTCTCCTCCTTTGTGGTAGCTTAAGATCTCTTCTCCCTTACTCTCCTAGGCCTCACACCCTCTCTATTTATAGAAGCAAGAGAGTGGTAGGCGGGAGGTAGGTGGGTGGTAGGTGGCCGGTAGGTGGCCGGTAGGTGAGCGGTAGGTGAGATGTGGTAGGTGGCGGTGCCACATTACAAAATTGCCCTTTTACCTTAGTTCATTAATTGGGGGTCAAAATAACAAAGGAAGAAGTTCAAATACAAACAATCCAAAAGATAATCGAAGGCATGTGCAGTTACCACTAAAAGCTGGAAATATGAGATGAGACGATACTTCATCTCACTTTTCTTTTATAAAGCTTAATTTGCCCTTTCAGAGATGTGTAAATGATTTGGAGAATGAATTGCTGAAACTTAGAGGTAACTCGGTCATCCCAACCTCTAAATTAAATTAAAATTAAATCTTATTTTCATTAGCTATATAAGTAATTAATTAACTACATTACAATGGCAGGTGTTTATATAACGGCAGGTGTTTTAGAGTGAAAATGGACAGAGGAGAGCAGACTTGCACCGTTGTTGGGATTGTAGAAGAACAAAATTTGATCAAATATATACACAAGAAGGCGGGCAAACATGGAGAAATCATTCGGCAGAAGCTTCTGATCGAATATATACACAAGAAGGCCTTCATTATCAAGCAGCATTTCAATACATATCATTCAAATCAAGCAATAAAGGAGACCGAGAAAAAATACAGCATCTGATAAAAGGAAAACATCAATCCACATAAGGGACCCAATTGGAAAACCTTGGAAAACCTTTCCAAAACAACCTTTCCAAAACCTTTCCAAATCATGGATTTAGAAATTTTTTGAACTAGACAATCATGACCTCCACTTAGGAGATCGTTAAATTTTAGGAAAATTTACATACACACCACTTAATTCTTATGTATCCACATATCTAACACTTTAATTTTTACAAAGTATATGCCACCATACTAATTAATTTTAGGAAGATTTACATACATACCATCTTGCCCATCAGCATAAAGTAAGGACAACTGCATACATAACGCTTAAACATTGCTACTTACAAAACTAGCACTGTAATGAATAGATTTAACCGTAGGAAATATCTTAGGAAAGATGATATTTAAAAACACATGTAATGAATAGATTTAACCATAGGAAATATCAATTATGCAAGATCTGATGGTATTTGGCCATAAATCACCTCATCTTTCAAAAGTAAATAAGCAACAACCATTCATATATGGTAACATCCTGATGAACTGAATAATATGGTGCAAAAACCCAAAGTAGCACAAAAGGACAGGATTGGAAAATGACCGTTGCAATCCACCACATAACAAAAAGAAGCGGGGTAAAGCATACTTCCAAGCACAAATTTAAAGACATTGGCTACACTAAAAGAAATTCAATTGACTTAATAAATAAAATAGTAATGCAACAATCCTCTCAAGGGATACACAAGAAGCCTCCATGCTTGATTTGTAAAATCCCCAACTCCACTAAGTATGGAGTTTCATCACACAAATAAAAAAGAGCTCAAAACAGCTACTCAGACAACTGCACTTTTCCCGTACCACTGAAACATCTGCAGCAATTTTATAAAAGAGATTATACCAAATGACCAAACCAAAAAAATTCAATCATTTTCATTAAATGTTTTTAAGCTAAATTCAAGATCCCATAACAGGCTCCATGGAAGCATAAAGTCCTTCCATTCCGTAGTCATTAAGAAGTGCATAACAATAATATATTACCTTCAAAAGCTTCAATGAGATCCATCCATATCAATTCAGAATGAACTCTGGAGCTGATATGATCATAGGTTCTTCTATATGAATTTATCACAGCATCAAAATTATTCCAACCGTCTTTAAATAAAAATAGAAATTATGGATACAATACTAATGTTCTGCATCAAATTACATGAAGATTTGTCAAATTCAAAATATAAAGTGAATAAATGTAGAACTTTATAGATGTATTATATCCTAGCATACCACTAAAAACTTTGTTCAATTTCCAATTGCATGAATGAAAGACTGACATGTAAATATCCAATCATGTGTCTACCATTGCATCAGTTGTCCGTTCTCTCAACTCTATCATTTCACATGCACGGTCCCCCGTCTACGGTACAGGTGGTGGAAGCCTCATTCTCCTTTTCTGTGAAAGACTGATCTAGACGGTATTCAAAGGCTTCTACAGGAGAAAAAAAGAGAGCAGCTTTCTTTATCAGTGGGATTCACAGAGACCTCAACAGCGGCGGGAGGAGCGGTGGCGGCACCCAGCAAAACTTCTCCGAAGTACGACCCGGGTCGAGTGTCAAGGAAAAATGCTGCCTAAAAAGATTTTTGTCTCCTTTTGTCCCTGCATTGTTTCTATTTGATGCGTTCGGGAAAGGGAGTTTGTGCGAGGGAAGAAGACGACGGAAGATGCAAGCCTAACCCCAAGTGAGCACTACTCCACCATCGCGCAAGAAAACATGAAAAATTCTCTACTTATGCTTAAAAGAGGGGAGCAGGCGAGGAGGGAGGTAGTGAGTGAGGAAGGGGGACTCGAGCGAGAGAGAGTTTCGGTCAGATCAGGGAGAGGCGAGCCGTGCGTGAGGGAACTCCGGTGTAGAGAAGGGGAGGTGAGCCGTGCGGTAGAGGCGAGAGAGGGGGGAGGCGAAGCAGGCGTCTCTATGCCCCGGTGAGGAGGTGAGCTGGATCGAGAGAGAGAGAGGTTCGACGAGAGGGGCAAAGGAGGCATTAACGCTCGAGATTGTCGGGCCGCGGGGTCGATCCCGCGACCCGCGTTCATCCTATTTTAGCGGCAAGTGGCCACTACCAGTGACAGAAAGCGCGGCAAAAAATAACAACTTCACGGTTTGGGGCCGTGCGCAAGAAAAACGCGGACCCAAACAAAGTCTAAACTTATTTGAATTCGGACTTGGTCTCTCTTGATATCTTTGAGTTGGCCTTCTCAGGAGGCTTATTTCAATTACAGATTTGCTAAAATTAGAGTTTTTTTTTATTTTGAATTTCACACTAGAAGCTATTTTGTCTAACATGGATCAAGGTTCGTGCTTGATAATTGAAATTTTTGGTGACATATTATCTTAGGAAAAGGTAAAAGTCTTGGCATTCAGTAATTGAAATTGTAATAGTTTATTTAAACAAAAATATTGGAAATGTGAGGATTACAAAGTTGATAATACAACAATAGCTTGATTTTCTTAAGTAGTAGCTAAGAATATTTGTAAGATGATGAAATATGATTATGGCAGTCAGACGACTGTAATTATATGATGATGGATCGAAATAATAGCTAGGAGATGATGGATATGAAGCGATAATCATATGATAATAAAGTTATAAATGTAAAAAAAAAACTAAACAGAGATGCGATTTTTGTAATTTTGTTCAAGTTTGAGCACATTTAACAAATGTTTATTCACAAGTCTGCACCTGCATTATTCGGGTGTAATATTCTCGCCATTAAGATTCTTAATTTTACTATAATTTTGTTGAAATTAAGATTCCGATGTTTCTTAAGAGTGTGTTTGGAGCAGCTTGAGTTTATCCAAATAAGCAGCTTATCCTGTAATGCAGCCCGCGGGATTCGACCCACGGTCTGCGTTTAGTGTAAAAACCCAACCGCGTTTTCCGATAAGTTGCCGAAAAAAATTTTCCAAACGGTGAGGCGGCATTTCCCCGCACTTATACGCTGCCCCAAACGAGCGCTTAATTTATTATTAAAAATTTTTAATTTAAATTTGCATCAAAATTTTATGTTTAAATGAATGAATTTTCTTTCGCATACCAATGATATAAAATTGCCTGCATAATTTTTTTTCTCTTAATAATATTTCTTTTCCAGAAGACCCAGGTTATATTATTAGGGCTTATATTATTACAATTTTTAAATTGGAATATTTACACATATACCACATGGTTTTTATATATTTATATTTTTAAAATCTAAAGTTTGAAATTTACACTTATAAAAATTTGGTGTCATAAATCTCCACATGAAAAATTTATTTTTTTTTGAAAAAAAAATAGTGATAATATTTTTGATGTGATATTAAAAATTTAATTGGCATGTATGTAAATAGAAATATTTAATATATAAATTATGGGGTTTGGATGTAAATGGCCCTTTAAATTTGTCTAATTTGCACAAAATTTCTGGTATCGTGGTGCTACTCCCGCCAGAAAAAAAAAACAAACGGGATCAGACCAAAACCTAGAGCTGAGGACGAAAAGATCGAATGAAGAGCCTTCACCTCACATTTCCCATAGTGCTTGAAGCCCACCTTCTCCCACCCAATTCCAGTACTTCCAAATCCCTCAGAGTCTCAGGTTTCGAGTCCAATAGATGGCCACGACGATCGCCTCAGCTCTCTTCTCCTCGAATTCTCGGCTCCCGGCCGGAAGAGAACTTCAGAGGCGAGCCTTTAACCCTAGGGCATCATCCAGTTCAATCTCCCTCAAGGAGGATATCGTCATTGTCGGCGCTGGCATCGCAGGCCTCGCGACCGCTCTTTCTCTCCACAGGTCTGCTCCTATTCTACTCCCCTTACATTTTCCATCACGCCTGAGGTTGAATCAGGGGTTTTCTATTCTGGGTAGGCTTGGCGTCCGATCACTGGTGCTTGAGCAAGGGGATTCGCTTCGAACAGGAGGAACCTCATTGACGCTCTTTAAGAACGGGTGGCGTGTTCTGGACGCGATCGGTGTGGGAGATGAGCTTCGAAATAGATTTATCGAGATCGAGGGGTAGATAAATCGCACTGTTTCTACGGGTTTCTTAGAGTTAGTCTTGCTTTGGTTTTTGGGTTGCTTTCTCCTGAACTTTTTATCGAACGAGCTATGTGCAGTCTTGTGATGAGATCGGAGGATGGGAGGGAGCTGCGGTCGTTTTTGTTTGAGGAGGAAGCACCAGGGTAAGACCTAGGAGTAATGAGTATTGAACTTATTGGGATTTCCGATCATTGTTATTTGAAAATTATGACGTTCGTGACAGACAAGAAGTCCGTGCGGTAGAGAGGAGGCTGTTATTGGAGACCCTTTCAAGTAGGCTGCCTCTCAATTCAATTTTATACTCGTCTAGGGTTCGAGCTATTAAAAAACAAGGAACAGGCGATACACTTTTAGAACTGGAAGATGGTACTGAAATGCTTGCCAAGGTAGATAACAAAATGAAGATTTACATACATACCACTCAATTCTCATTGAAGATTTACATACATACCACTCAATTCTCATGTATTTACATATCTAACACCTAAACTTCAATTTTTACATATAAGTGCCTGTTCTCCCCCCTTTGATTTCTTTACTTGTACTCAAATGTTCAAGTTAGCAAATCTCCTTATATGTTAGCATGCCATGACAAAAATGATAAGACTGAACGTTTAGAGTAATTCAAAGAACAATTTTCTAAAATGTTATCTCAGTTTTTATTCTAGTCAATTGCGTGCTGTCCTTTTTGGCTGATATCCTTAACAAGATGTCGTTCTCTCATTAATGCAAAGTTGCTTGCTTGCATCTGTCTTGGATGATTTGCCTTTTGTATTGCAGATGAAATGATATCGGAATGTATTTAAACATTATTTTGAGTACAATTCAATTGCTTGATATTATAACTTTGGGTCTATATACATTTTAGCATGCAGGAGCATATTCTCAAGAGTTTATTGTGAGTTAAGAAACGTGTAAGATATTATGATATGTATGAGTATATGCCATTCAAAAAGATTTTTCTTTTTGGTACATTTCTCTGAAAATGGAGTCCTATATATAGGCTGATCACCATATATGGTTGATGTTATTATGCTTTAGTATTTGAGAATTCTTCGATTGCTTTCACTATAAATTCCTTGCTTGGGTAGATCACATTTATTAGATAAATATAATGACATTTTAGCATCTTTAATATCATGTTAAACCATCATGCTCATAGATGCTTCATGCATATGAGGGAATTAGCTATATTAGGCATGAGTTTGGCTTTGCTATGCTATGTGAAATAAGTTGAGCTTTAAAATTGCTGCGTGCTTGAAAATTTGCTGGATTAGAGTGTAAATTTATTATTTTAGCATGCACAAAGTTTGACATACACATAGATAGAAGGAAGTTATAGGAGTATTTAACGTGGAAAACTTGAGAAGTGAAAAAAATCATAGGGCTTGAACCAATTAAAATAATTCTTCTAGCATAAGTCCTATGTTACACCATAATAGATATGAAGCATCTTTTCTTATAATTGGAGAAGATCATGATATAATATAATAGACATAAAACACACAGGGTGACTTTTTATGGTGGAATGAGGAGTTTTGGGGTTCTAGAATTGTATCAAGGGATCACTAGTAATTTGCTAGGTCATTATCTTTATAAGAGGAGAAGAATGACCAAGAAATCAATATCGGCTTTAGTAGAGACGGTGGGCGCCACTGTTGATGTCGATGAGGGATACCTTAATTCTAGATCCAAAATCTAGTCGGGGTTTTATGTTAGACTGTTGGTGCTAGCCAATTTCATATTATGTTTTTATACACGTGTAAATTATTGCTTAATGGGTTTTTTTATTTCTTTTTCTTCCGACAAAAAAGATGGTGAAAATACGAGCAGCCCTCGCTAAACCTAATGAGGTCTTTTTGTATAATTCAATACACAAAGAGAGGCCCTCATGGTTGACCAAGGTAGTCTAGAGAGTAGAATGTGGAATTGAAGTTCTTATTTGCTTAATTGCTTGATCAAGTATCCTTGCAATATCTTCAGAAGCGAGAATAGTTCTCTTGGTTGTCAAAAGTTCTTAGTACTTGCAAGTTGCAATAGCCCATGAGGATGAGGCCAATGCATAACCAGTAAATGATCGGTAAGACCGTGCCAATATCAAAACCTTAGAAATAATGCAATGGAACAAATGACAAGAAAAATAAACTATTTGAAGATGAAGAGGTGATAAAGATGTTAGAAATTCATGTTTAATATTTATGACACAAATTATGAAAATACATAATAACCAAGATCTTTTAAATTCATGATTTTTATATATTTATAATAAAATAATACTTACATGTATTCATAATGATAAAATTTGATCTTGAAGAGATGGAGTTTATCTCTCTAATCCCTTGAAACTTTCTGTACTTTCTGATGGAGTGAAATATACGGGGTGTTAGGAAGGGAGAAGATCCATTATCTGAATTATGCTCTATTTAACCACCATCCATCAATGAGGCTACTAACAAATATGATTTAATAAATTAATTGATTTTTAATGTTAAAATCAATGACATAAGTTAGTAACTCTTATTCATTTTAGGGATTACATGAGTTATAAAAATAAATATCATAGGTTATCATAAGTTATGACATAAGTTATGAGTTAAGAAAATAAATAACTTAAATTATCATGAGTTATAAAAATAAATATCATAAGTTATCATAAATCGTGACATAAGTTATGAGTTAAGAAAATAAATAACCTAATTTACCATGAGTTATAAAAAATAAATAACTTAAATTATCAAAATAAATTTTATAAGTTATTAAAATAAATGTGAGCCACAAATAAAAATTTAACATTCTCTTACTTGACTCACTTAATTTTAATAGTGTATAACATACCGCACAAAATGTAAGATAAATTCTTCTTTATATTGGTTAAATCATAAATTATTTAATAAGTATGAAATTAATATGAATCATGGCGGTTGTGCATCAATTTATCGACACAGTCTCTTCCATGTATCATAATATGGATTTAGACTTAACATAATGAGAATTGACATCATTATCCCATAATGTCTATTAAAAGACAAATCTTGTTGAACATCATGCAACATAAAATGTTTGAAAAGGTCTAAATGATGTCCGGTATCTAAAATCAACCGATAGGTTTCAATAGCTTCAATTAGTGTTTTGACTCGGTTTTCCATTAAGATAAATTTTACATTTGGGTTGTAAGGAATCTCTGCATCGTATTAGAAACATGAGTGATACAATTAGAATCAATTCACCTAGTTTTATAAGGAATTTTTGCCAAATTTAATTCGAAACATACAGAAACACAAGATTTACCTTTCTTTTCAAATCAGTCTTTGCGCTTCTTACACTCATTTTGATAGTGTCCAGACTTTCTGCAAAAATGACATTTAATTTCTTTATGTTCATCTTTGTGAATTGGGGCAGATAACGCATTAATCCTTAGTGGTCTTTGTTTGCCCTTTACATTTTTCTTTTCAAGTTTCTTTACGGCTCTTCTTTGATGACCCATGAGATTAATAGAGTGATTTGTTTTTTTCTTAAGTTTTGCTTCATCTTAAATGAGCATACATTGTAGTTTATTCACATTTCACTTATCTTTTATAGTGTTGTAGTTCATGTGAAATGGACTATACTCAAGAGACAAAGAGTTAATGATAAATTGCACAAGGAAATTTTCATTCACTTCCATTCCCAAGGTCTTAAGTCTTGTTGCGATGTTAGTCATTTCAACGACATGCTCATGCATAGTATGAGAACCATCAAATTTCATGTTGGTTAACGTATTCAATAGTTCCCAGCAAGAGACTTGTCAGCAGAGTCAGACTGAGAACAATTCACAGCAAATTTCAAAATTCTTTAGCATTTTCAGTGTTAGAAAATGTACACTTTATGTTGTTTGCTACAGCCATTTACATAAACATTAAGCTCATTCTGTTTGATTTTTCCCAAGCTTTATAGAAAGATATTTGCTCAGCACCGCTAGAATCAGTAAGAGCAAGGGGTTTGTCAGTCGTGAGTACCAAATCATGATCTAGAACACGAATGTGAAACTGGACTTGCTCATGCCATTCTGAGAAATTAAGTCCATTGAAAGTTTGAACAGATGTAGCTTGCGAATAAAGAGAAACATGAGTAGTTATTGCAAATAAATAAAACATGCTCGTACATTAATGCTTCGAACATTAAACTTACATAGATATTCATATAAAATCAGATTAAAATAATAATAATAACAATAATAATGTATTGAAATCTCATTTGGGTGATATAACAATAAATGATAATAAACATAATTGATGTTTGTTATGAATATCTATGTGAATAAAGATCCAGAACATCAAGGTGAAACTGGACTTGCTTAACGTCATTCTGAGAAATTAAACCCATGGAAAGTTTGAACAGATGTAACTTGCAAATGAAGAGAAACATGAGTTGTTATTGCAAATAAATAAAACATTTTCGTACATTAATGCTTCGAACGTTAAACTTATATAAATATTCATATAAAATCTGATTAAAATAATAATTATAATAATAATAGTGTATAAAAATCTTCTTTGGGTGATATAACAATACACGATAATAAAAATAATTGATGTTTGATTTAAATTTAATATAATTGATAATTGTTTATACTCAAATTAGACATGTCTATTATCTTTGGATATATAAACATCACTTAACGATTATATAAATCGACAACAATTATATTTAAAGATTATAAAACAAATGATCAAACTTTGGGTAATCTAGAAATATTTTATATTTAATGAATTTTAATATTTTTGTAATGAAATGTTAAATTATTTTATAACAAGTATCACATACTCGTGAGTAATTGAATTTATTTAATTTGACGTGTATTAAATTTACTAATTTTGTTACTTTGGTGACTAACAAATTAAACATAACATCTACATCAAATAAATAATAATTTCAATCACATCAATTTACTTTAGCGATCTAATTCAAGATCTAATTCACAACGAAAATTTAATACAATTAACATAAATAAAATTATATGAAAAATCATAAATTTAGTAATCAAGATTCTGATACTACATGTTAGAAATTCATGTTTAACATTTATTACACAAATTCTAAAAATACATAATAGCCAAAATTTTTAAATTCATGACTTTTACATATCTATAGTAAAGTAACACATACTTGTATTCATGATGATAAAATTTAATCTTGAAGAAATTTGATCTTGAAGAGATGAAGTTTCTCTCTAATCCCTTGAAACTTTTTGTACTTTCTGATGGAGAGAATTGTACGGGGTGTTAGGAAGAAAGATGACTCATTATCTGAATTATGCTCTATTTAATCACTATCCATCAAGAGAGTTACTAACCAATAAGATTTATGATATTTAATAAATTAATTAATTTTTATTATTAAAATCAATGATATAAGTTAGTAACTCCTATTCATTTTATGGATTACATGAGTTATAAAAATAAATATCATAAGTTATTATATGTTATGACATAAGTTATGAGTTAGGAAAATAAATAATTTAAGTTATCATGAGTTACAAAAATAAATATCATAAATTATCATGAGTTTTGACATAAGTTATGAGTTAAAAAAATAAATAACTTTAGTTATCATGAGTTATAAAAAATAAATAACGTGAGTTATCAAAATAAATCTTATAGTTATTAAAATAAATGTGAGCTACAAATAGAAATTTAATAAAGTAGACAGTGGGAAACTATAATAACTGCATTTAAGCAGCATAAGAAAGTCAATTCATTCATCAATAAGATGATATCATTATTACTAATTTGCTTATGTCGTATGCAAGTGCAATCATCCTTTAAAGAGGGGGCCAATGCACTAGTTCGGCAATCACTTAAGAAGGGTTGCAATTTATCACAGATTCACAATAGGCACTTTATCTAATTCATTATTCTTTAAAACTAGATCAACCTCTATCACTTCAACTCAAATTTAATTGCTTAAGCCTTAGAGATTAGCTATTTTTGGCTATTTCGATCTTTGGGATGACTTAATGAAAATGTTACTAGCATTTCTCTTGTAACTTAAACAATAAGAATTGTGATTACAATCCCTGGACTAAATCTAATAGTGCGGTTGAATATCATTAGATTTGACACATCAAATGGACTAGCTACATTGCATGCCCTCATTTTCGCAATAGGTGGTTGTGTTCACTCTCAATTGTTGACGTGAAAAAATTGACGTCTCTATCATTATCTTTGTATATATGAAAAACACTTTGATATACTATGTTTTAAAGCTTCGTAGAATTTGATATCTATGCAGCAGTGAATATTATTGAATATTATCAATATAAATTTGTCTTGTCAATATGATCTTTTGTTTGTTTATTCTTCATCTTCATTTAGTTTTGCTTGAAGTTTTATCACTATCCTAACACTGTAGGTTGAAATCTAGTGATTCTTTGTATATGTGATTTTGTATTGCTCTGTTTTCTATCCTTCTGTCCAACTCCCAAAGCTATTATTTATGTGCTGCCAGGACTGATCTTGCTCATGCTCTAGTGTGGTGCTCGAACATGTCGAAACCAAGGACACTTCATTTTTTGCTCTCTCCTTGTTGCTTTCAATCTCAACTTTGGCGTCATAACTGACATCCATCCTCGTTTGGCCACCTAATCTTTCCTACATTATTTCAATCTTCTTCTGCCATCTGTTCTGGACACTTTTTATTTTCCTATAATTAATTGTTGGTGCATTTTGAGCAATTCTCTTTATTCGAGAAAAAAATAATTGGGTAAGCGTCTTACCCAGTATTAATTAATATTAATTAGAATGGATTTTATAATCATTGAATTTTTTATACTTATAAATTCATCATGATAAGCTCTTATTTCTAGGTTAAAGCTTTCTACAAACAGCAACTTTCAACGAATGTTAGATTCGTGTAGGTTCTTCATTTCTAGGTTCTTCACGATTTTCACGTGTTAATTCTTGCTTTTGGATATCATTTCCTTGCCTAACTTCTAACCTAATTATATTTTTTTGCCTAAACTTTTACATCTGAAATTTAATTTTGCAACAGATTGTGATAGGCTGTGATGGAATTCGATCACCAGTAGCAAAATGGATGGGTTTTCCAGAGCCCAAATATGTTGGACATTGTGCCTTTCGTGGCCTTGGACTTTATCCTGCAGGCCAGCCATTTAAAGCAAGAGTGAACTACATCTATGGAAACGGACTCCGTGCAGGGCTTGTTCCCGTTTCCCAAACACAAGTTTATTGGTTTATCTGCTTCAACAGCCCAACGCCAGGTTAGTTCATTATTGTTGAAGAACTTCTGGTATATTCTGTTAGAACTTGTGAACTCTGCTTTGCCATACATTGCCTCTTTTTAAATTTTATTTCAAAGTTATTGGAAATTGTTAATATAATGGATAAGATTTGAACCAAATTCGAATCTGATTTTTAGATTTAGGGTCTATTTTAGGCAGCTACAACTTAATAATAAGTTGACTGTCTGTTTGTTTTTATAGTTTGAAAACAACTGTATTGTAGTTGTTTTTGGACAAATGATCATTCTACCCCTGTTTAGTAATGTTTTTTGCAATGTGACTGTTCATACCAGTACATTTTATACTTTAAAAATAAATATCAAGTGTAAAATATTACAAAATAAAGATACACATCACTAAAAAGTGAGTAGCAGGACTACTAAAATTAAGAAAATGATTATTAAAATAATAATTAATAAAATGATAATATTATTTTAAAATATAGACGGTGTATGTGAAGGACTAAGTCGTCCTGCAGGGATACTCTCCATGACTGATCACTTTTGGCAGTGGAATCTTCCAGTCCATTTGTTTACTGAAAATAGTCACAGTTTTTTATGATTCTTTGTGGGCACGTGTAAAACTGTCTCTCGTAGCTATGTGGTTGATGTGAAGTGAGCAAGGAACATTAAAGTCCACAATAGCAGTGCAATTCTTTGAAGGTATTGGAAATTTTCGAGCTCATCTTTTCTGAAAGCTTAAAAAAACATACTCTTAGACATAACATAACTAAAAGTATATAACTTAAGTAAATAATGAAAGTTTTATGCAACTGTGAGATCTTAAAGAATTCAATATATAAACCAACGAATTTATCATTATAAGAAGACAATAGACATTATAAAAAATGGGTTTTTGGTTGCCTTTAAGCCACGTAATACCAAACTCGTGTATGTCATATATGCATATCACAAAAAAGAATCATCTAGGAGAACCTAAAAAACTAGGCACCGCAAAAAAGAGAGGAACTTGGTTGTCTTCATTAGGATTTCACATGTGTCACCAATTAATAGTGACGACATACAGGGCATCCAAAAAAGCCCATAAAATCAACCGTCTCATCATAGACCTCCAAAACCCATAAAAAAGGAAATGCAAAAGGAAAAAAAAACACTACACCAACGCCTCTTTAACCACACACAAACACATCAACACATCCAATATCACCTCCTCTACACATCCACTGACACAAAAACATCCACACCAACGCCTCCTTAACCACACACAAACACATCCACCATCACCAACTCATCTGCAACCATAAACCAACCACCACCATCTCACCCACACACAAACACATCCACCAGCACATACATATCCGCACACCAATCACCCTACACCACCACCTCCTCCACATCCACGCACCAACCACCCTTCACCACCACCTCCTTGTCCTTCAACATAAACAGATCCATCCCCACACCCACCACATCAACACCATAGGCCAACATCAACCAGATGTACAATGACTGAGCAAAAGAAAAACCATAATCCCCCATTGCATGTGCATTCAAAACCAACACATATTACACCATTATTCAAGAACGTAAAGGAGTAAGAATAAGCATTTGCCAAATCTAAAATCCAAAAAATCCAAGCCATTGCACGTTGGATCCCCAAAAATCCCAAAGTCAAGCTTCACTGAAAACCAATAAAGCATAAGCATTTGTCAAATAAAAAATCCAAAAATCTAAGCCATTGCACATGGGATCCGAAAAATCACAAAATCCAACTTCAATTGAGAAGCAATGAAGCATAAACATTAGCCAAATAAAAAAAACCACATTATTCTCGAGCACAGAAACCACACCAGCACCAAGAGGAACAACCGCACAGAGGAACCCACGGTGGGAACAAAAGCACAAAACCAAAAGCCACATAGTTAGGGTAAAAAAACCACCGCACAAAATTACCCAATACAGAGGAACCACTGCAAAGAAGAAACCACGACAATATTGGATACATGCACATTTTCAATATAAAAAACAATGGCATAGTTAAGGTAGAGATTACCTAACACAAAGAGGAATTACTACACAGAGGAACCACAGTACATACGAGCCAACGTCTCATGAAGAAGCAACACCTCGCACTGATCAAAAGATCCAAACAGAGCTGCGGAGGAGATAAAAGAGAGGAAGAAGAGAACTCACCGAGGGAAGTACAACTCTAATTGCGAGAATCACAAGAGAGACAGAGAGGGAAGAGGAGAGGGCTGCTAGGGCAAGACGTGAGAGAGAGGATCGCAAGAGAGGAGGGCATCTAGGGCAAGGCGCGTGAGAGAAATGATTGCGGGAGAGGAGGGGTAGCCGCGTCAACACTTTAAAAACGAACGCGTGCCGCGGGGCTGAAACCGCGACCTCGTTTTGTTCAGATTTTTCATAAAATCCGCCGCGTAATTGAAACCAAACGCAAAGGGTCGCATTTCTTGTCGCACCGCGGTAAAACGGTTGCCCCAAACAGGGCCTTAGTGGCCATCAAACTCAAGCTTAGGCTTTCATGTTTGCTAACTTACGATAATTTTGAAAAGAAACTGAAATCAAAAGAAAGGCTGCAACTCTTTAATTTTCTTTGTGAATGCCATCAAGGGTGGCAGGGATCTCTCTCAATTCAAAAAGAGGTTGGTGGTGAAGCAGCAAGCACATCAGTGGAGAGCCTAAGGTCAAGCATCCATAGCAATGCACCTCCTTTAGTTAAGGGAAGAGGTGATAGATTATGGTGAGATCATATATAGTTTGATTGGAAGGTCATTGAGCTCTTGGTGTTCGATGGTCTTGATTGATAATGGTAAGTAGTTGGAGTTCAAGCCTTTGTGGCTCATGGTGCATGTAAACAAGGAGGACAATAAGTAGAGGAGGCGTCTAGAAGTTCTTAGGGTAGTGGTGACAAGCAAGTATGTTGCTTGTAATTGAATAATGAAAGAAAACAAATGAGCTTGGGTAGTATGTAATTATAGAAAAATAGTAGAAAATATTATTTAAAATATTATTTTTCTTGTTCTTGTGATTGTCATTGCTCTAAATTCACTGGCTTGGAGGTCTACCAAAAGTGTGTGGATATGGCACATGGAGACGAGAAGGCGAGGACCAATTGGTTCTTTGGCGAGTATTAGGGTAAAAAAAGATGCAGATTCACGATTATATGTATAAGAGAATGTTACATGCACCTCTTTTTGAGTCAAAGTCTACTGTCATGAGCCAAAAAGATTGGGATCTTTTGGACAGACGAGTGTTTAGAGTTATACATTTGTCATTAACAAATAACATTTCTTTCAATACATTGTCATGAGAGGGTCACTATTGGCGTGTTGAAAGCACTGCTAAATATGTACAAAAAAACCTTTTCAATAAACAAGCACACTCATGTGTACGTAGTAAGAAAAATAAAAAAAAACCTTTTCAGCAAACAAGATGTTATTAAGGAGAAAATATTCAATTTAGGATGACTGAAGTCACTTACGTAGCAATGCAACTCAATGAGTTCAATCTGATTACAAGTCAGTTTAACTTGGGTGGATATCAGCTTTAACAACTAAGTTCGTGTGTTGAGCTTGCTATTATCACTATTGAAAAGTTGGCCTGAAATTCTGACAACTGTTAATGGTTCATATGAGTTTGCAAAAGCAAAGCTCAATGACGTCGATTGCTTGATTTTGAGTTAGGGCATTAGAAGATGTTAATCAGGTGAATGGTTTTCATCTGCCATTTGATCCTTGAAAGCCAAGGAACAAGTGTGCAACGAAGCAACAACATCGGTAGATCTAAATGTTTACAAAGAAGCCAATCAAATGGTCTTAGTGGCGCATGCCAGCAGGTAATAAGATTGGCTAAATGAAAGGGATTATCTACAAAGAAAGGATAAAAAATGTTCAAATCAGATAAAAAAATTGTGTGCTGTGACTAATGAGATCTGCGATACACCTATGGTCCTATGGAGCCTTGTACCCTAGGCTTAGGCTTCGTTTCAGAAAGCTTGGTCTTTTAGAAAAGTCCATTTAAACAGAACTTTATCATAAATAGTGATATAAAGTTTTATTTATTAAAGATAATAATCCGTTTGATTAGTGGTAACTTTTCAAACACAAAATGTCTAAAACACTCCTCATTTATTGTAGCTCCCTATCATCTTGAAAATCCCCAACCAACCTTCTCATCTCGGCTAGAGCAGGCAGAGCGAGATAAAACTGAGATTTTTGGAGAAGAGCGAGAAGGATGGTGCAGTATGTTCATGGGGTGGGGAACTTTGCAGTGGTGGTATCGTCGAGGAGGGTCACAGTGTCATCTAGGCCAGCAATGGCGAGCTCATAGCGTTCCACACTGATGAATCCAATAGGACAGAAGAAAAGGCGGTGGGATCGATGGCGGAGGAGAGGATGAAGTAAAGGAGATTGGGGAGGTCGGACAGATGGCCGACACGGGAAAGAGAGGTGGAAAAGAGAGTGCTTGGTGTCGGGGGAGAGGGATTAACGCAGATGATGGAGACTATTATGGACAACTTCATTTGCAAAATAGCTAAACAAAGCGATACAGTGGGCGAAGCTCTAGAGATATTGTTGTTGGCATCAATTTTTTATATCACACGTGTTGGATGTCCTTTTGAGTGATATGGGATCACATAATGTTTATATGTAGTATTTCGTAACTCGAAAAAATCTATAAAACTCGTCCACATGCATTTCAAGAAAATCAGGATTTAGGGCTATACACCCTTGCAGTGGTCCAGGGCGCTCGTTGCATTAAAATCTTTGATAGAAAATTTATAAAAATGATTATTTTGAAGTTTTGGGACTATGTTTCAGTGATACAAAGTCTCCCATATTTTACGAATTGATAAAACCCTTCTTCAGACGCTTTTTACAAAGGTTGGGGTTTACCAGGCTCGACTAGTGTCGAGGCGGCAGTCTCGGGCGCCTCGACGCCAAGGACATCCCTAGGAGCCACAAAATCGAGAGCCCTGCAAGTAGGCGCCCAGTCTAGGTG